TGGAAAATTGCAATGGACAAAAATCTGGAATGAAATCGGACCGGCTCAAATTATAGGCATCTGCCGAACCATCTTTACAGTTGGAGCTCGCTGCATGTAACTACCCCGACTCACCCAAAGATTTCTAGGGAGTCTCCCAATTCTGATCACACAGCCTCTCCCGGCCCTACAGATTCTCTCAACGCCGTCATGCCACCTCTCCAGTCCCTGCGGGGATGAGGCTGCGGCAGGAGTCACCAATGGGACACCTTTAAAAGGACAGGGCCGAACTTCGGATTCGGCAGGGTCACATTCTGGGTTCCGCCGACCCCACGAGACACCCCACGAGTCACAAGCAACGAGTCCGGGGTCACCTTGACCCCTGCAGAGTGCCAGGCCCAACTTCTGGCCAGGCCAGCTCCGCCAGGGGAGCATCTACAGAACTAGGAGCCTCCCTGGCCGCTGCAAGCAGGTGCGGAGAGGCGCCGGGAGTTAGGGGGCGAACTAAACCAAACCGTTGGCAGAAGCCATGCCCGGCTCCGGCGCCGAGACTGACCGGCGCACAGGCTCAGACGGCCATTTCTCCTGCCCGGGCCGGCGCGGTGCTACCCGTACCTGCGGGTTATAGGCATGGGAAGCCCATGCTCCCACCAGATTCTGCGTGAAGCCGCTAAACTTGTAGTACATGACGCCCAGTGTCCCGCTACTCGCAGCCGCTGCCTGCGCGACCGCCACAAGGAAGGACCCTGCCTTCCGGGAGTCGCCCCAAGGCTCAGCCCAAGGACCCTGCGCCAAGAGACGGGCTGCCCAGAGATCGCCTAATTTAAAATATGCCTTTTAAGCCACATAAAGGAAGAAGCCGGGTTCTAAAGGCCAAGAAAGGCATAATCATCTCTCGGAGAGCGCGGAGAGCTGCTATATCGGGGTTTGTGGAAAATACGAGTTTTCCTCTTTCCCCAAATTTTGATTCGGGCACTGCTAAGAGGCTCTAAGAACTGCGCAAGCGTCCCGCGGTCCAGGCCGGAGGCAGAGGGACCTGCCAGGGTGAAAGTAGGGTGGACTCTGGGCGGGGCCTAGGGCTGGAGGGGGCGGGGCCTAGGGCGAGAGGGGCGGGATGGGCGGGGCGACTACTCTCTTGAAGGGAGCGGTCCTGCGGGGCTGCCACCCGGGCCCTCGTCAGACTGAAGGCTTCTCTTTCTTTACCAAATTAACCTGCTCGTAGTCTCATGTCTTTCCTCCCGTATCTGCCGCCTCGCTCTGAAGCAGTCGGCCCAGGAGTAGATACTCATCGGCCGGGCTTCTCCGACAACCTGGAATGAGACGCAAATAAAATTTGGAAGCACCTGCTGGGAGCTGTTAGTCCAGAGGGCTGTTAGGGATCGCACCCCAGTAACATAAAGATAGCCTCCTGGGCTTTGTGTAGAAAAAAAATGCGTAGTGACATAACCTTCGGGCACCAGGACGTAAATGTTGCAGTCTCTCAGAACTAGTTTTTACTGTCACCTGAGTTCCGTGCGAACTGTTTACTCATCCTTTTCCTGACCTCTGCCCTTTGAGATAAATGAGGTGAGGAGTGGAGGGAAGTGGACTAGAAACACTTGAAAAATCTAAACCTCGAGCCTGAAAGATTCAGGACGACAACTTTCAGTTCCAGTAGAATTCACTTTTTACCGGATCAATTTAAGGATTTTTTTTTTTTTTTTTTTTTTTTAGCCTCCACTATGTGCAAGGTAGTATATAAGAGGAGTAGACTAGTCTCCTACCTACAGGGGTGGAGCAAGGCTTTTTTTTTTTTTTAATTCTTTATTAGTTAAGGTATTACAAATGTGTCCTCATCCCCCCCATTAACCCCCCCCCCCGCCACACTCATGCTCTCATCCCCCTGTTGTCCGTGTCCATTGGTTTGGCTTATATGCGTGCATACAAGTCCTTTGGTTGATCTCTTCCCCTTACCCCCTCCCTCCCCTACTTTCCCTCTGGGGATTGATAGTCTGATCGCTGTTTCTCTGTCTTTCGATCTGTCCCTGTTCATCAGTCTATGTTGTTCTCTATATTCCACAAATGAGTGAGATCATGTGGTATTTATCTTTCTCTGACTGGCTTATTTCACTGGAGTAAGGCTTTTCTTAGCTTTATCCTCTAGCCAGGGGCTTCCACAAGCGTATTACAGGTTCCCTTACAGTGCACTTATGAAAGCATGCGGCAGATGGATGGGTGAGACCCCCACATAACATTTTCCGTAAACAAACTCACTTACCCTTCACAACAATCCTAGGAGGTAGGTACTATTACCATCTCCATCTTACAGGGCAGGAAAATGAGGCCGAGGAAAGCCCAGAATCTCGCCCAGCTCAGCTTTAGTTAGTGGCGGAGCTAGTCATCTGCCTCAAGAGTCTGTACTCTTAAGCACTACATTATAGATAGATCAATAGGTGGTATCCATCCATCCTGAGAAGAGGAGGGTGAAGGCTGAGCACTCCAGAGCGAGGGTGTGCACCAGCATCCCCATTTGGCAGGTGTAAAGCCGAAGGGCCCCCCGCGTTCGGCAATGCCAATGCCCGGGAGAGCAAAGGTTCCAGCGTCTTCGTATGGTCAGCCAGTCCAAAGTCGCTGCTTTTACAATGCAGCACTGTGATCCAATGGAAAAAGGAAATGCGACTTGAGTTTGAGTCACCATTTCTTCAAGGTTGAGTGATTTGCAACTCGTCGTGTTTCCGGAGCCTTGCTTGTCTCCTCTGTAAGTAGTAATCCCCATCCTGTAAGCGTCCCTCCCTAGTGTCCTGAAAACCAATAGGTCAGTAGCTTTTAAAGCTTCACAGATATTATGTTGCTGAGCTTACCTTTGAGTCATTTTACTTTTTTCATAGTTCTTGGCTATTAATTAATTAAATGTCAGGATCACTCATACCAAGAAAGGTGAATGAGCTTGCTAGCAATTGTTGAGTGGAAGAAAAGGTCTCTCCCAGAGTTTAGATTGAAAAGAGAAATTAAGTGATTTAGGGCAGCTCTCTATCTCCCTCCCAACAGTCTTTTTTTATTTTTATTTTTTGAGTGGGGAGAAAGAGAGAGAGAGAGAAACAATGATGTGCGAGAGATACATCGATCAGTTGCCTCCTGCACATGGGATTGGGTCTGTGTCCCAGCTACATGCCCTTGACTGGGAATGAGCCCGGACCCTTCCGTCCGTGGGCCAACACTCTAACCACTGAGCAAACCCGGCCACCACTGTCTTCTAAACATATTTTGGAAGGAGAAAGTAGAGAGCGTTACTCAACTCTTCGCAGCACTAAGGTGTACCCGCTTCTTGCGGTATTAAAGGTGCCTGTCAACTACTGGTTATTTTCTTAAAGTTTCTGCCATCTGATTTTAGATCCTGCAAGACATAAATTAAGAATCCTGAAAATGTTACAACAGCCGGGCTGTTCAGTGGGAGATAAAATGTCAGTAGCGGAGTGTGGGATGGGATGTCACATGGAGTGGCTGATCAGAGGAAGATTCTGTCTCACTTCCCAAATAAAACGCAGCACACTCTGACAGCACTAAAGCACCCTCTTCTCATTCTGATTTGCATATCCCACCCAACATCAAAGCCTGATCTTCCTTTATATCGTGATTCCTTCAGGTTGTTCCCTTGATTCTATCCTCGGGGGAAGTGACCACAATTCACAGTGCCGAGAAGCTTGCCAGTCGCCAAGAGCTTTGAGTGAGTGCAAATGCCAGCCTGGCTTGGGCGAATCTGCCCGCTGCGGCTGCTCCATTTGTGAGGGCTGGTGCTAATGGCCTCTGGCTGGCAGCTCTGTGAAAGCTGGGAAGGATGGAAGACCAATATAAATTTTAAATTGGGTTGTACTGAATGTAGATAGGACCTGCCTCCTTGTGAAATAATTTTTAATTTTTTTTTTTAATTCTCCAATTTTCTCAGAATTGACTTTTTAAAAAATTGACGTTTGGTGGGTCTGGCAGAGTTAAAGCCTGTAGGCTCTGTAATAGTTGAGGTCGTTGTGTTTCCTTCAATCCTTCATTGTCTTCAGAAGGGCTCATATGTCCCCTAGCTTTGGAGCAGAAATATGAGTGACGAGCCTTTGTTCTGTGCTGATTTACCATGCGGCAGGCATCTCTGGGATATAGGCTTCCAGGGGGCCCTGCTTTTCCCCTCTTTACTGTTTCTTTGCTGCCAAATCTGCAAACTGAAGATCCTCTCTAATCTGGGGAAACATTTATGCACGTGGATTTTGCCCATCCTAAGGTAGATGCCTCGATGGAAAACAGACTATAATACTGTCATGTTATAGTGCAGTATTACCTTTTTATATTGTGGCTTGTATCTACCCTCTCTTTGGCAAAAAGAAAGGTAGAGGGAAAACATTTCCCCCAATATTTTAAAATTGCCAGTGATATTCCCAAGAAAAGCATCCCCAGTAATATATTGGGAAACAAAATGGAGAGCTACACGCACTTTATGATTCTCAGAACAATGACACCTGTCGTGCAATTATTCGGTAATTTTCATGCGGCAGAATTAGAAATCTCAGCTGTCATCTCGTATTCTTTGTATCAAATAAGCCCTATCTGGTGTGTAAATTGTAAGTTTGTCTTTGAAACCTGCAATTTAGATTATATCAATATTATTGAAAAACAATTAAACCTTTGATAAAGCATGGTATTTTCACAGCAAAGGAGTTGAGGGTCTGAACGTGCATTCTCACCCAAAAGAGGGGAAGTGGCAGCTGGGGCTGCAGTTCCTGGGACAGCTTTGTTGCAGTGTGGGATGAGCATATTGACATCAACTCCCTCTCTGACCTTCTCATTGTTGAATGTCAATATGATGTGTGAAGCTGCCTCACTTTTGCCTGCCTGCTTTTCATTATGTGCAAGTCAAAAGCACATCCACAGAGATTATGGATTTAACTCAATTTTGACACATCACATTTCATTTCACTGGTTAAGAAAGACTGGGGTATGACTCATAATTTATTTTAAATCGTTTCAAATACACTTAATTATACTTAAAATTTTTTGAGAACCAGAACAAGAGTCATGCAATTTTACATGAATATCATCTATAAAAATATAGTATACACAATGTTTTCCTATACATAGAATGAAAGGATTAGCAGTGGCCTTCTCCAGTTTGGGGTCAGAGGGTGGTGCCCCCATTACTGGAGATTCTCACTTTCTGCATCACATTTGTTTGAAGAATTAGAATGTTGTACAATGAGCATGTATGACTTTTGTAAGCCCATATACACATAAACAAATAACATAAGATCCCCAAAAGGCATAAAAATTAGAATTTTATTTATTTATTTTTTAAATATATTTTATTGAATTAATTTAGAATATTTTTAAATCACCCCCTGTGTAGTTATAAGGAGACCACTGAGTGATAGTGTCAGCTGCCTCCTGCACACCCCCTACTGGGGATGTGCCCGCAACCAAGGTACATGCCCTTGACCGGAATCGAACCTGGGAACCCCCAGTCCGCAGGCCGATGCTCCATCCACTGAGCCAAACCGGTTAGGGCAAAAATTAGAATTTTAGAAATGTTTCCACATACTTACAACCTAAATTGCCAATTAATTTAGAATATTTTTAAATCACCCCTGTGCAGTTGTAAGGAGACTACTGAGAGATAGTGTCCAAGTGTTAAACCACAGAAGAGTCACTCAAGGGCCCTTCAGCCACTAGAGTTAACATTATAGTGGTTCTTCACCAGGCTGTTGAAGAAGTGAGTGAGTGCATGAATGAATGAACTAATGAACAAATGACAAA